TAGGAACGTCCGTGACATGGCAGCAGGAAGCTTTGTGACTTACACAAGACTTGCACGTCGACGAGAGACTGTCTTCTCGACTGCCGAGAGCCACTGACCTGGGTCGCCCTCACACTAGACCTACTTTTCCTTCTGTCATGGTTAGCTTTATTCAATGCCTCGACTCTTTTAAACTGCTCAATACCAATACAAACATGCCACCATGACAAAGACCTCCTGGTGATGGAACTACATAACTAGTTAGTAGTATTAACCCTGATAATGGAAGCAGCAAGGACCTCAAGAACTTTGGTAAACTTCTACCAGAAACTGACCGACGTTTCAGAGATGCATTCTGCGTCCACATCACCCAATAAATACAAATCTACCCTGAAGATAATAACTACAGTATTTGCCCGAAACCTTGGATCTCTCAACATTTCGATAGTCTCCGAAAGATGGAGCTGTACTTTGATCCCCAATCGGGAAAAAAAATCCAAGCAAAAGCATTTGTGGTTTATTTAAACACTGTCAACAGCTCAGACTATATAAATAATTCGATTACGAATTTCCAAGAAAAAATTTACTCCATAAAGTTAGTTGTAAGGTGTGAATTGCCTCAAAACGCCAAAGCCAAATTATCCAGCCGGACACAAGCCGTCTTATTTTTCTTACAATAGCGTTTACATTGTGATTAGGCAGTTTTACAGCGACCTCCTAACTGTAATAACACGCTGCCTAGAGAGACCTACTTCCTGACTCACGGACTTAACTAAACACTTGATGATTCCAGGAAAACCTGCCCAACTGCTACGGAGTGTTCTCTTAATCCACGAATATAAATGAAGGCAAATAACAACAGAAATTAAACCTGACATTTAAGAGACTGCTCAAACAGAAACACCTTCAGATATCTCAGTGATTTTCTTAAAGAAAATTGTTACACGAGAATCGGTTTACAACAGTTCATCAGTATCTCTGGCTTCGGTGTTTTAACAAGTTTATAAAAACGTGGCCCCCAGGTCTGGAAATTTTTGGGAACCCCTGCACTAGACAATGACCATGAAAGGAAAGAAATGAACATATAAAATACATTCTTATCAGTAGGTCAATGTTAACAATGCAAGGATATTATGATGAAGGTTTCACAGTTCTGAAAGGCATTTAAATACGAATCTGACAATTTAAAAATTTGATAAAAGGCATCTACGTGAATTTCCACTTTATTCTTCAGTTAAATACCACCATCTGTGCATACCTCCATGCAGCATGAACACTTCATTGTTTTCAGAATATATTCTTTACAATAAAAAAGTTGGAATGCTTGCAATATTCAGATTTCACATGTTCATCATTAATGAATTTGCAATGTGATTCAGAATGAATGTTACCAAAAGCATGTCAAATAAAATTAGCATTGTTATCTTATTCAAAATAGTTGTAGAAAAAAAATGGCATCATTGTGTTTTGAATTACGAAACAAATAGTGAAAAGACACAATTAAAATTAATTATTTGGTTTTTCCGTCAAATCACAATGTATTTAAAATAAGATAATTAAAATATCATTCTGTGTTCCTTTTTAATAATCGATTTACAATTGGAACTAAATCGATTATTCGATACGGAACACAGAATGATATTTTAATTATCTTATTTTAAATACATTGTGATCTGACGGAAAAACCAAATTATTAATTTTAATTTAATAAGTCACAATATGACGCAACTACACTATCTTATGAAAAGACACAAGTTTATACAGGGTGTTCTCTGGAATACCACGCACTTCATATCGCCATACAGCATTACAAGTAAACACTAAACACTCTGCTAAATTGTACACAAAATCCACCAAATTTATTGAGGAATTTGTCTCAGAAAATAATGCAAAGACCTACCTCTCCCCTGCCGCAGCTTCCCAGTTCGACGTTGTGCCAACAAAGCAGGCAAGGTGCTACCACCAGCCAGTTTATCCCTACTCGGATGTCAGTAGTCTGAAAGAAAGCGTTCTGGCGTGGCACGGCAGTGTTGTACTGACATCGGCGTGCGACGTGATTGTGAACGAGGGAAGAATTTTTAATTTTTGTTGACAGCGACAGCTAAGTGCAAAGTGCTGAATCAATTGTTTCTGATCGAATATTTCACTGGTTCTCGATCACATCATACACAATCATCAGCTCGCTGCATTATCACTATTTACGATGTTTTTAAATAACATTATTTGTCCTATCATGGGATTACTTAGAACTGGTAATGATCTGTTTTGTTCTTGAAATGTATTCATTTAATCTATTTCAGCAAGCAGATTCATTAGTAATTTTTTGTACAAGAGGACAGTAAAAAAGAGTTTTGTGCGCGCGTGTATATATATATAAAAAGTTAAATGCATTAACATGGAACTGTGAAAGAAATGAGCAATTGTTTTATGTAATTATCAAGGGTTTGATCTATAGATTTTCAAGAAGTTTCTGAAAACTGGCAAATTTCACGAAAATCGGTATAATTCCGTAAAGGACCTTCGGAACATTATTCAGAATCTCTCCACATCCGATTCTAGAGCTAGAATTCAATACCGCTCATTATTCTTCATTTTGTATTCTATCAATAATTATTTCCTAAATATTTTACAACAAAAAAATACTCACTGTGTACAATATATCGTTATATAAAATGTTATCTACAATTTTAGCTCATATATATCACACTTTATTGCTTTTAAGCAATATCAAATGTTTGAGATTGTCTTTCTGTGATGTAAAATGCAGGGACATCTTCTGGATTTCCTCGTCTTCCGTTTCACATTCTATGGGCACATAAAACTGATACAGCAACGCAGGCATGTCCACCCCACTTCCTGAACATTTGGGTTCTGGTTTACAATTAAAGCAATGCTCACGTGATGCACAACAGAAGCAACACACAATACAATACAAATCTGGTAAGCCTGACACTCACTTGTTCATTGTCCATATTCAAAGTGTTCTTGGATGAAATTTTAATTGAACACATAATTTTTTCCTTATTTTACATAATACATATTATATCTACACATACCCATATACACAGAACATTCTTTTTTAACATTGAATAACGTTTATAAGATCACGGTACACTCGACGGAAACTGTAAGATGTAAGGTAACGCTGGTGTGTAACTTCTTCAAACGCCAATAACTCGAGACCTAAATTAAAGAGTAAATAAATGGCTTTTTCTACACGATGTTTAATTTATTCTATAATGCATATTTTACACATTTTTGAAATAATTACCCAAAACATGTAATAACTATAACCTCGTTCCTTAACTTCAACCGCTTGCCACGTCTAAAGCGTAAGAGTTAGATCTGGACATATTGCGAGTGAAATACGTAAATAAACACGATCTTTTCAAATTTGCAAACAGATTTCAGCTAACTCTTACGGTTTGGGAGTTTTGGTCATTTATTTGGTAACAAAGAACGGTTCTAGCGTGGGTGTGTCGAGTACATGACGCAACACACAGATGAGCTGTTTGCGGATGACGTCACGTATAGATAAGATGGCGGCGGATGACGTCACGTATAGATAAGATGTAAAGGTATACATTAATGCATGAATAAAATTTTATTTCGGTACCAATATACTTGTACAGTTAAACGTTATTCAATGTTAACTGGGGAACCGTGGTTCCACTGTCAATTTTTTTAAACTTTAAGCTCCACTTCATTATAAACAATGCCAATGTTCTGCATTAGCCTCCTACCCAAATTCACTAGCACCATACAAATACCGATAAAAAATTGTAGTAATGTGGTTAAGTAGTTAATTCATTTACAGTTTTGCAGAAGAATGTTGTCATGTAGTCAAGTTTACCACACTGTCCAACATTTCTACTACGGGTCTAGCAAGATTCTGCGATTACTTATAAAACTTCATCAGACGCAATACTTTCATCTTCATGTTACGACTTCTTTCACATTTTTTCTTGATGAATGTGAATTATTTGTAGTATAACAGAAGTGAGAAAAATATTGTTTTAAAGATAAAATAGAGCAGTATATATCGAAAATATCACCTCAGAACTGACTAGAGTATCAGTACAACACATATTCAACATTGCCCAATGTCTGAGGTATATTTGATACATAAGAATTTTCCTTATTTGATCTCATTGTTTCTTGTGAAAGTCGTGAAGAAGTGTGAAGGGGAAAAGACGCACTAACATGTTAAGAAGGGAATAAGTAAATTAGGAATACGTTGCTGCACAGTGACCCCCAGTAAAATAAACACATTTAAAAATGGCATCGAAGCGCGTTACAAATGAAGAGAAATTATGAAAGGCAGAAAATAAAATAATTGCCTGTTAACATATTTTACATATTTCTGCAAGGTTACGAAAATATCTGGTATGCAAAAATCGGCGCTTATAGAGCGAGTATTTAACAGCATAAAACAAAACATTACAAGCAAAATCGCAATAAAATCACATTATCAAATAAACCAGCATCGACAGAACCTGTCGTCATATCACTCAGTTTATTAAATTATATCATTATCCTCTGTGTTCATCTTTATGATGATCAATAACGACGTCACTAAGTTCTGTGATCGTGAATACGAAGCTCGCGGCTACTGGGTCAAAATATTAAAAGTAAACAAAGATTTATACACATTTTAAAATATCTTGGTTAGTACTACTGGAAGACAATAAACAATATATTCAGGATTGTTACTCTAATGTTATGATCACCACACACACACACATTTGCTATTTTTAATTAAACTTCAAGTAACTAGCATTGGTTCCATATACCAATTATATATTCATATGAAATGTATCATAAACACTGTGATCCTCAAGAAAAATCATATCTCATTCTATTAAAACTTAACATGTAGGTAAAAATCAGAGATTCTCTCAAGAACAATCAGCTTCAGCTCGAAGATTCATTATCAACGCGGTCCAAGACTCCGCCGTCCTCCCTTTTGGTTATTAACAGACGGGAAGATCTGTCACGTCTGGTGTGAAGGAAGGATGTATTATTGCTGTTAGAAATTGAAACATGCCTACACTTTCTTCCCAGTGGCCATAAAATTAAAAGACGTCACGCTCTAATTAAGGTCGCATCACAAGACGTTTACACTGTAAGATTTACATGATACAAAATATTCAGAATTCAGCCCAGTAACGTTTACCTTCCTATCATTAGCTGCACTCCTATAATCAACCAATTTTTTTGAAGTACTGTTAAGTACAATTTGAATTAATAGAACAAAATACCATGTTGTTCCACGACAAATAAACACAAAAAAGTTTAAATGTCCTACCTAAACTGTTCAGATTTCCTCAAAACTTGCACAGACTGTACTTTCCTCCAAAATCTTAGTTTTTATGCCAAACAGTAATTCAGCAGCAACGCTAAAAAAAATTACAAAAAATTACTTTCTTTAATATAAAACATTCCTTAAAAATTTCCACGACTCTGGTGGTTCTACGCAGTTAAGCCGTAAGACTTATTTTATGCTTACTTTAAAGGTACGAAGGAACTCCAAACATGCTTCAAAGTCTTACGCTGAAGACAGCGAACTTCATACTCACCGCTTTGAAAACATCAAATCCTACGCTGGACCATAAACACTACTCTTCTCACGATTCTGGGTTTGATGCCCTAAGAAGTGGTACCTGAGGGAAAGTCGGAAAATCTTCAGCTTCAACGCGATCCTGTGCTTTGAAGGATGGATAAAGACCTATCTGATTGGTGCGAAGATTCTTGCCTTTGCTGTAACCATCCCAATGATTACCAGCGACGCCCACCAAATCACCCCGTTCAAGAGTCATCTCGTTCATGTCACGGGCATGATGCGGGAGAACGGCAACCTGTATGTGTGAGGACTGACCACCATAGTAATATATGTCATCCAGCGAGCGGAACCGTTTGGCCGCGTCCGGATACAGGGTTTGCATTATCTCATACGCTACTCGACACACCTGAAATGCGAACGTCAAAATACAGCATAGAGGTGACAAGGATCTGTAGTTCCTGTCCTTTAATTTTAAATTTCAAGTGGTCAATATGAAGCTAACACATGTTCAAATCGTGGTTTTCTGGGTTACAACACCAAAATTTTGTAGATGTTGACCATCATCAGGGTAAGAGACATTCAATTTGAGGTTAAACAAGTGCAACTATTGTCACTGCCTATCCATATGTATAAAAAGAAAACTTCATTCTGGTTTGAATGGGTTTTCATTATCTTTAATTAAGGCAACTTTTAATTAAACTTTGCTAACAAAATTTAACTTTCGCTTATGATTTACATAAGACAGTTCAGACAACCACTCTCTGCAGAAGTCCTTATTCAGACTACAAAAGAATTTTACAATAGAATTTTATTAATTTTATTATTGGGAAAACAAAACTTGGGTCCAAAGTTTTAATGCAAATTTATATAAAATTCATAATGGTGACTCTGAAAAACTCACAAAACATACAAACATGAGAAAAGGAATAAGTGAGACCTACCTGTGATGAGAAAGTGCAGACTAGGTAATCAGATAATGACAGGAAATGAATATCGAGTATGATGCCATTCAGCGATGTGTCCGAGTATCGTGTCGACACTGCCGCAGTCTTTGCCACATTTGGGTCACCCAAGATATCATATTCGGGATACCTGTCAAAAAGTAAAACATGTTCAATGGCAGTTCTTAAGATGACGCTAGTAAATATTTCCAGTCTTCATTTCCCTAGCATAAAGGACAAAAGCTATGCATCAATCATGACTAATGATTCAATTTTGCGAGCAGAAAATACTGTGTCCACGCTTTCACTCTTTTTATCAATAAAAGAACAGACAACCATCTGATTAAATTGAACGCACTGGTAAGAAGACTGATAAAGAGGAATATGATACAGGAATTAGGCAATTTGTTATTCTTTACCTCTTGTGTGTCAGTAAAATTTCCTGATTTTGTCCAGCAATCGCAGAATCATTGACACTTTCAGTAATGTGTACCTCATATAAATAGCAGTGTTTTGAAGTAACTTGTTAAAATTAAGACCACTTTTGACATGTGAGGAAAATTCTTACTTCTTCTGTGCTTCGGAAATGACCTTCGGATCGTCTGAAGCAAGATACACTCTCCGTCTATCCACCTTCTGCTTCATTTCTAGAAGACAGTAGTATTCATCCACGGCGGACATGTACTCTTCCAAGGGGTGGAACGCCGCTTCTGTTCCAACCTTGTCGGTTCTCCTGATATGGACACTGAAATGAAGTAAAACATCTGGCAATTAAATGCTAAGGCTCATTCTATAAAAATGTCAGTGACCTTTAGCGAGTACAGGCACCTTCAAAGAACTTGCTTTGTCATTCCTGGGAACTTTCATCGAACGTCACATGAATATGATCATCAGTCTCAATTACATTCTCAGATAAATCCTAAAACTACATGTCACACTACTTAAAGTCTATGTTACTTGCCCGACTATAGGCCTCCTGAAGCCAAGTTTGACCGAAGCCTCTTGTATCATGTTACTTGTGGCCTCCTGTGGCCGAAGAATGAACTTAAGGAACTGACCAATCCACCAAACTATTGGATCACCGTGTAATCGAGCCAACCTAGGAGTCAGATCTTTTGGTACAGCCAAGGGCAGATAAGGAGGTCGCGGCGACAAAGAGTCCACAATCGGTAGTTCTACAACTTGAGTATCTGGTCTTCCTGAAGGAAATGGAATGACGAGCGTACACTTCAAGAAATAATTTTATTCTATTATACATTATGAAACATTCATAAGATATATGTCCTGCTTTGTACATGAAATAAATAAACATAAAAGTCAATGTAATATGCAAAATCACATAACTAACTAACTAGATGGCTTATCGAACCCGAAGGTTCATCACCGAATTAACCAAAGCCCTCCACCGGACCCTGTCCTGGGCCAACAAAATCCAGTCTCCTTCAACTCCTATCTCCCATAGATCCCGCCTGAGATTATCCTCCCTTCTACGTCTAGGTCTCTCCAGCAGTCTCTTCCCCTCAGGCTTCCCAACCAATTCCCGGTGCACACCTCTTGCCCCATCCATGCACGCTACATGCCCCGCCCATCTCATTCTTCTCGACTTAATCACCCTGACAATATTGGGGGAGGAGTACAGATTTTTAAGTTCGCCATTATGCAGGATTCTCCATGAACCATCGTCTTCTCTCCTAGTCCCAAATATCCTCCTCAACACCCGATTCTCAAACACCTGCAAACTGTGTTCCTCCCTCTGAGCAAAATCACATAGAAATAAAAATTAATTTCACCACAAATTTTTGTATGACTGCCAATATTTAATTGAATGAATTTTAAAAGACTGCTTTATTTTGTTACCCTCGATCACACAACAAGAAGGAAAGTATTACACGATACATATAAAGTACAATGAGAAGAAAATTAATCAGATAACAAGAATGTGAAGTAAGCTGCGGAAAAATGTAAATCGTGAAAAGATAAACTCCCTTATCATTCCCGCAGTACAATTAAAGATACTGTAGAGTTGTTTTTCAAACTACTACAGCAACATTTCTATCAAGAGAACCTTATAAGCTAACTCACTGTGACGTCACGCTAACAAACCTAGCAGTTGCGATCAGACGATTTACCTGGCCAGTGGCTGTGTGTTCTTCCTGATGGATCAGTGCAGGTTCGACTAACTGGCAGAAACACCTCTTCCCAGCCCGCCTTTCTGTAACGCCAACCTCGAGACTTAAGTATCAGGGTTCGTTCTGTGCCATATGCTACAGTAAAGCAATACACCAAATGGTGAAGTTGGCAACCATATCCACAGCCCTGTAACCCAGTGTATTTACTTAATTAAGTCTTTCATTCTAAACAAATGATGCAGAAGATATGGAAAAGAGAAGAAAAAAAAATTAATTACTGCAGAGTGGAAGAAATTATACATGAGCAACTCTGTGACTTACACTCCATTATTTGTGTTACGGTCACTGAATCAAGGCCACATGGGCTGCACAAACAAGAAACACATACAAAATTTGGATCAAAATTCTCATAAAACATCAACACTTGTAACACTAAGATGAAGGAAGACAATAACTAATAGATTTCAAAAGAAATATGTTTTGATAATGTGGACTGGATTGAACTGGTTTAGACCAAAGTTATTTATCTTCATCTATATTTTTTTCACAGTATCACCTTGTTCAGATTGCAGACTAGTTTCCTTGCTGATCCACAGTCTTCAGGATTCTGTAGGTAATCGAATCGTCGCTGCACCAAGTCGCTCAGATCATTCGCTTCTTTCTCTCGCCAAGCACCGTACCCGTCTACTTCTGACAGCGTGTCTATGTCCGTAATCAATGACCTAGACGCAAAGTGTAAACATTTAGTACCGTCTGTTGTTCATATGACAGTCTTATCGGCAATATACAGGTGCAGTGTCGATGTTACTTCAGAATCAAAGAAAGGATTTGAAATTCTTGTACAAACTCAAGAAATATAAAGATTTCGGTCTTCTGGGTTGTTGCGCTGTGTAGTCTGGTCGATGTTAACCAACGTTTCAGAGGTCATACTGCCTCCGTCATCAGGGCGATGAGTATGAAGATTTCTGTCTTCTGG